ATTCCGAGACCAGTGCAAATCCCACCGGCTGACGGGCTAGAGGATGTTACAAAGGGGTAAGTTCCAAAGTCAATATCCAACATTGTTGCTTGACCCCCTTCGACCAAAATCTTTTTCTTCTCAGAGATGGCTTCATTCACAACAAGCACAGTATCAGCAATGAAGGGTTCCAATCTCTCAGCAAATCTCTTGTACTTTTCAACCTCTTCTTTGAGCACATGGGGGCCATACTCAAAACCTCGGAATCTTGATGCAACATCTGATAATAGAAGATCTAGCTTCTGAGGAAAAGTATCCATGTGCCTCAAGTCACTCACTCGAATTCCATTTCGGATAACCTTGTTAGAGTAACAAGGTCCAATACCTCTCTTGGTAGTGCCAATGAAAGATTTAGCAAGCTCAGATTCTCGAAGTCCATCCACTACTTGGTGAAAATCAAATAACAGGTGAGCACGATCAGAGACCAATATCCTTCCCTTGCAGGAGACTCCATTAGATTGAAGGCCATCAATCTCTTTAAAGAGCCCTGGAAGATGCACCACAACTCCGTTCCCAATAACACAAAGAGTTTCTTCATTAAGAATACCCGAGGGAACAAGGTGAAGTGCAAACTTCTTTCCCTCTGCATTGTAAATGGTGTGTCCGGCATTAGCTCCACCCTGAGAAGATAATAAAACTCATGAGAAAACAGCAAAATGTGGCTACACCAGTGCGAGATTTTATGTTACCTGACAACGAGCAACGATGTCAAAGTGCTGGGCCAAGATGTCGACAAGTTTTCCTTTACCTTCATCACCCCATTGGCAGCCCAACACCCCGGAGACCTGGGTCAGTGACTCAATTCGATTAATCCCCTGGTTGGGGGACCCGTCAACACTTAGAGGCGATGGGGTGGCAATTGAGGGCTTCACCGAGCATACGACGGCATTTTTCGGGCGCTGGAGGAGAATCGGCCTGTGGTGATGGGGCCCAAAGGAGCGGGGGCTGGCGAGTGGACTGGAGTCCAGGGCTCTCAAAGAAGAGAGGTTGTTCATGGTGAACCCTGAAGTGAAAAAAAAAATGTTTAATTAAAGAGACTCATCTCAGCTGTAATTTATAACCTGCCCCTTTCAGTTTAAACTTTAAAGGATGACTTTCTTTAATCCTTGTTCTTGTCAATCAGTGACGAGTAATAACACATACAGACAGACATTAAAGTTGAAACCTTTTCCAAGCAGATGCTAAAAATACAAAAAATGTTAAGCTTAAAGACCTCGATATCCAGCTTCGGATAGTTAGCAAGTATCTGCAAAACCTTCCCTTATATGCTACAAATTCGGACCTTAGCTTAGGAGCAATGGAATTTGATTAGAATTATTCAGACTACAACAATACCCGCTAACACATCCGAAATTCTTTAAGCCGCGCGATATTGCTCAATATATCATGGAGTATTAATCAATCAGATAACCACAATCAAGACAACAAAAATAAAAACAAAAGCAAAAATTCCATGCTGAAATTAGTAGAGAAATTTCATTTCTGCTGTAACGAAATTGACATTAGAATCAAGCAACCAAGTTAACAAATACGAATATATAATGAATCTGTGAAATCAAATAGTTAAACCCTAAAAAGCACCACTGCAAATAGCATAAGAAAATCGAAATTAACCCTAAGGAAATTGGGAGAGAAGAATCTGAAAAGGGAATACCTTTTGGCCCTTTGAATTACTGAAAGAAAACCCAACAGAGGAAAAGCCTCCAACTCCAAGACTGTTCTGGGATTTTAGAGAGAGAGAGAGAGAGAATCAGAAGAAATAAAGCAAGACAAGCTAAAGGAGGAAGAAGCAGCAACCAAAGAGAAGCAGAGGAAGAAGAGGGGGAAAACAAGAGGCGGGCTTGGCAGTGGAGAATAATTTTTCGTATCCCTGGGACTCCAGGTCAGCGTCAACCACAACCACTCAAAATATAGCACGTGGAAATTGTATTTTCAAATTAAATTAAAACTCAAGGGTTTGTCTCAAAATCACAAAAGTTTGTCTTGTATAGCGTCCAACCGAAATAGCTAAACATAGTTTATTTCAGAATTATAACTCTGTAAAAAATTATTTTTATATGATCAGTGTTAGGTCATATTCATATACAATATCTAACTAGATGGGCTAAACACAGTTCTCTCGATAATTTATTAGTTTTAAATTTATATTTTAAATTTATTGATTAATAATTAAACTTCCGTTAGATATTTTCAAATTTAGCCGTTGAGTTTGAATCAATTATTATAACTAAGGAGTTGTGCCCCAAAAAGGGGCCAAGAGGAGGGCTACATTTGGCCAAATAATAGTCTGGTACGTTTTATAGAATTATAGCCCAATCATCAATTGGAGAGGATTTTTTTTTTGAGAAATCAGGTCATTTTTTGGCTTTTGGACATTTAGCTCTTTCCATTGGAGATGGTCTTAGTAAGAGTTGGTTTGAGATTGTGGTTTTTGTTTTAGTATTACCGGTCCGTAGTATTGAATGACAAGATTGTGGTATTTTAAAAAAAAAAAAGAAAACATTTTTATTAAAAAATTTGGAACATCAAACTTGTTTAGTAAAACAAAAAAAAAGCTCTTTAAAAAATAAAAAAAATAAAACTGTTGTCATTGATAGTAGAAAAGTAGAAGTAAGGTCTTTCGCAAAGCATGGTAATCAGTGTCTAATTAATGAATTTTCAAATAACAAGTATACTCCCATATATTTTACAAAATTACAATCATTGTTCCTACATTATTCTTATCAACAATTATTTATCACATTAAACACATTTTTAGTCATTTAACATATTCACATCAATTTATATAAAAATTTACCAAATACCTAGACACTCTCTTTCTTTTTTTTTTCTTTTTTTTAAAGCACTTTTATCAAAAAAAAAAAATATTTACAAAACACTCAATAACTTTATTTTACAACTACTTATTCTCACAGCACAGCAAAATAAGTATTTTTAAAAAGCAAATTAATGCCAAACTAGGGGTTAATTACACTAACACCCCCTAAGGTTTATCATGTTTTCACAAAACACCCTCACATTTGAAACATAACACTAATACCCCTTGAGGTTCTAGTTTACTTTCACATAACCCCTTTAAGGTTGACATCACCTTAAAATATTTTCTAATATTTTCATGAAGGCAAATTTGCCCTCATTTTTAATTACTTTAAAAAATAAATAAATAACCTTTTTAAGAATCAACGTAGGGTTTAGGGCCTCCCCTCCGCATTCGCCACAACATAATGAAAATTCTTATCATGCTTCACCTCCTCTCTAGCCATCCTCACAAGAAGTTACTCCTTCATCTCGGTTTTTCGATCAATTAGCCTCTCCACAAGCTTGGCCTCACTCTCCGTCATAAAAAAAATATGAAAACCGTCAAATTCCCAAGCATCTTCCTCACAAAATGCAAGTTGTTGTTGGAAACCTTGAACTTTTTTATGCCAAATTCTGGAGAAGATCCGAGTCCATGGTAGAGGAAGAAAGATAACAATATTTCTTTAATTTTCTTTTTATTCTTTTTTATTGTTTAATGTAAGATTTTAATTTGAATTTTTATTCTATTTATTCAAAGGGTTTTTCATTTTTTTTAAATATAATTAATAACGAGGGCAAATTTGCCCTGAAGGGGTTATGTGAGTGTAAACTAAAACTTCAAAGAATGTTAGTGTTATATTTCAACCGTAAAGGAGTTTTACCCGCCAAACTAGCCATAAATTACGGGACTCATATAGTATGTAAAAAGTATGTGGGTTTATTTTATCAAGTGTCAATTTTCCTATGATAATACAATGAGAGAGGCCCATTACAAAAATTTTAAATTAAATTTTCATTTATTTAGTAATATGTAAAAATGCACATTTTATTTTATTTTTTTTATTATAAGTGATTAAAAAAATGTTGAACTCGGAATGTAATGGGTTGAAAACCACTACGATAATCCACAACATTGTTGAACTCGGAATGTAATGGGTTGAAAACCACTAGGATAATCCACAACATGTGTAACAATGCGTATCAGTGTATATTTTTTTCCAATGATAAATTGTGTATAAAAATTTCGTGTGTACATATGTATTGTACAATACGCTTATAATATGTTTTATTTATTTGCTAGAAGACTAAACCCACAACCGTATGCTTTTTAAGACTAACTACGGTTCACATCAAGTTTGTAATGATTTAAAAATAAAAAAAATAAAAAAAGATATATAAAGTTTTAATGCAAGGCATTGAAATTATATTAATTTGTATCTTCGGTCTTGATTGATTATATAATTATTTATTAAAATTGATGACATAATGAGTATGAGAAAAACCTCATCAATTTAATGGGAATTAGACATTCAAACAGACAAAAAATATAAATTGACATAATTTCAAAACAATTACAAATAACTTGACAATGTGTTTTCTAGAAGCTAAAAAATGGTATCTGACCAATTTCAAGAACGGGGTTCATTTATATTCCTCGTATAGTAGATGCTATCACATATCCTGAGCAATTTCGTATTGTCTTTTGAGGTGCGTGGGTGCAGATCGAGCGTTTTCGCTAGTAGGCATTACAGAGCACGGCGACACTTGGTATAGTATACTTCCAAGAACAAATTCACTTCCCTCAAGCACATCATCATCAGAAGAAGAAGAAAAAAAAAAAAAAAAAAAAAAGGATCATTTGATGTTTTTGCAAAGAAACTAAGTTGTAAATGCTTCTTACTCTCCTGTTTGAGGTGACGAGTAGGGTGCAATTCTCAGCTAGCTTCCTCCTTCGGGGACGGAATGGGTGGAATGAATAATCGTTGTTCGCCACCAATTGTACCGGTTTTAAAGAAGATAACTGTTAGCATAGACACATCTATCTTGATTCCACTAATTAGAAGTTAATAGTTGTGTTAATTGATGGTTAACGAAAATAAAAATTCATTTTTTCACTCTCTATAGCTAGAATAATTATGGAAACGAATTTAAAGATTTCTGCAGCAGCTGAAAAATGCTTTGCATTCCTAAGATACAGAATCCACAAATCAATAGGAAATGGAACTTAAGTTTGCTACTCACATACATGAGATTTTCACCTCATACGGCTCCTCGTTCAACATTGAACATAAACGGAGGCAAGTCTCGATTTTATATTCGGATCAAATATTGTATAATTGCTTGAATCTTTCGCAAGCTTCTAATACATTTTTCCGGTGACCAAACGCGCTAACCCTGACGAAACCTTCACCCCCAGGTCCGAAACCACTTCCAGGCATGGTGACCACGTGAGTCTTCTCAAGAATCTCACTGAACACATCCCATGAGCTTCGGCCAGGGAAGTGCACCCACACAAAGGGTGCATTCTTCCCTCCATACACCTTAAAACCAAGAGACTCGAACGTCTCCACAATTATTTCAGCATTTTTCTTGTAGTAACCAATCACCTCGCGCATAGCCTACAAGGAGTTGAAATCAAACTATTGTAAGCACTGCTTGTAAAAACATATGCATGCGGATTTCAACTTCGAAACTTTAGCAACGAATCAAGACACATAAGAACGGACCTTAAGGCCTGTTGGCGAAAGGCAAGCAAGACCGCCAGCTTGGGATATATTGGATGCACCATTGAAGCAAGTACAAACAATGCGGTTGAAGTCCTTGGCAACAGGGAATCCATCTGAAAAGAGCAACTGCTTTGGAACAACAGTCCACCCCAAACGAACTCCTGTGAATCCTGCATACTTACTGAACGATGATGTCTCAATTGCAATCTGCAGTGGCCTCACAGAAACAGAGAACAATGGGGATCACTTATGAAAGGTGCAATGACAGGCTAAGGAAATTTCAGATGTACAATGCACATATGCAAACTATTCCTAGTAGCATTAATCTCTAACAAACAAGTGATCGATATAGCCGGCAGCTGCACATAAATTTTCAATAAAAGAAAGGATCAAGAGCATTGCAAATATGCAAAGTATAGATTGCATATTACCTCTTTAGCTCCAGGGATTTCAAAGATTGACTGTGGATTGTCATCTGACATATACATGGCATATGCCGAATCGTATACTATGATTGACCCGTTCTCCTTAGCAAACTGTACAAGTTGAGTCAGTTGCTCCCTTGTTGCAGCAGAACCAGTAGGGTTGTTTGGAGAGCAAAAAAATATGATATCTGTTCGAGAAACAGCGCATAAATCAGGAAAGAAACCATTCTCAGGAGTACACCTCATGTACTCGATATTTCTGAACTTTTCAACATCTTTCTGATACTGTCCAGTCTGGCCCATGATAACACTCAAGTCTACATAAGCCTGCAGAAAAGAAAAGAAACTTCTACTTAATTTAAAGCGGTATCTGAACAGTTCGCATTGAGTTAACTGAACAAGATAAACAGGCAACTAAGACTGAAAACAAAAACTACCGGATAAGATGGATCTTGCACTGCCATTGTAACATTAGACCCAAAAACAACCTACAACAGAGTACTACAAGTATGGTCATACTTATCAAACGATGAACACGAAAATTTTGAGAAAAAATAAATCACTATAAATAAAAAGTAAAATAACCTGAAGGCGGGATATGTCACATTTTGCACCGTCAGAAACAAAGATGTCATCTTCCACGATGCCAAGGTTGTCATAAAATGTTGAGGCAATTGAAGCTCTTAGCAGCTGAACAGATTAACAATATGCCTTTAGTCTTCATCATCCCTAATATTATATATGGGAGGATATATTTGCACAGAATAACTTAAAAATCCGTCAACTAGCAAATCTAATGAGAAGCCAAAATACCTTTTCACCTTGTTCAGCTCCATAACCACTGTAACCCTCTAGGGTAGACAAAGCGTGTGCTTTCTGCAAATCAGAAACAATATGGATTTAGAAAGACATATAAAAGCTGACCAACAACCATATGCTACACGACGTCTTTTTTTTTTTTTTCCAAGGTAATTCACATATAATGCATGTTTTAGAATGCGTATAGGATTGGTTTGCCTCAATCAAAAGGTTGGCTTCTTGACTGTCTCAACCAAAAACAAGCTCAGTTTACTCTAACAATGAACTTGGCTTAGTTGGCTAGCAGAACAAAAGCTAAATGAATCGTATAAAAGGTCAAAAATCTATAAAAAAAAATAAAAATAAAAAATAAAAAAATAAAAAAAAATAAAAATAAAAAGATTATCAGTTGAAGTATCATCCCAACTGATGTCCTTCTCAACGGAACAACATAGAAACTCAGTCCGACGAGCTCTGTTTCCAGCCCAACGCTCTTTATTCGCTCGATCACTTCCCAAGTGATTCATCAGCCTTGTCTTACAGTTAGATGTATGTGTTTTCAGTTGATTCTTTACATTTACGATCAATTTAAAGTTTCATTTGTAGATTAATTTGCTTTCATTCTGTAAGTTTGTAAACAGGGCAGTTCAATATAAATTAGTTGGAAACGGCTTTTATTCAAAGGATTAATTATGGATTGTTGGCATTCACTAAGAAATATGCCAAGTCCTTAGCCTACAAGGCATAGAAAAGAAATAAGACTCGGTTAGTATCCCGCTTATGACACAAACTCTAGATTTGAAGTCAAATAACTTGTGGTGCAAGTAATACGTAATAAGTATTCAATTAATTATACAACCGTCAGCTGGCAAGAACATGGACGAGTACTTGCCATTGGTAACTACGTACGTTCCTAGGGACTGGTCATGGATAGATCTTGAAGAAAACCCCAACTATCGATTTTGGTATTAAAATGCTGTTGCACAGTTAGGGCTAGCTAGCGATGTACGTCGAGATTCATCCATGTAAGATAGATATTAATCAATATTAACTGCGACCAACCAAATTTTCCGACAAATTATTGATATATTCTCAACAAAATCATTACAGTAGTGATGCACGCACAAATGCAGTAACATCTTTCTGGATAATGAATCCGTGTTCTCCCCAATATGCATGATGTGCCTGATCAGTATCAACCTAATGTTAGACAACAATGACAGAATTTTATTCTTGACATTCTCATTCTCAAAGGGGTCATCCTGTTTCAAAAGACGAACTCAAAAGCTATTTAAATAGGTAGTCAAAAGCTGTTTCAAAAGCTATTTATAGAAGAACTTTATATTCTAGTCTCTTTTCTTTCTTTTTTTTCATTGATTACACAACTTTTGTTGAATACACGTCTAATTGCACCATGGTTTTTTGTGATAGAACCCAGCACCTGCCGCTGAGATGTGCATGTAGTTAAGTGGGGATAATATCAGTGTGATTAGTAGCTAACTGTTGACCAGATGTTGAAATCTAAATTGTTGTACCATCTTAACCAACCATAACTTGTCGAATCTCTAATTTAGAGATGGCACGGCATATGGTTAATTAGTTGAGATGGTACGGCATATGATCAGTTGTATGTGAAGATAGTATTTATTATCACATCTTCAATAATATTTAACTCATCATGTATATGCAGGAAATTTGGAGATTGTTTAGAGTCAATCTTTATGAAGAAGCCTGTTCATCCGAATGATCAACCACTGTTTGCTCAAGTTGTTAAGTTTGTATCAGACGCTACAAGAATTCTTGATAAACTGGACCACGAGGGCAAAGTCAAATGGGAAAGATGTCATAGCCAGGCGATATAAGCCATGTCAGAATAAACAGGGGCTCTAGCAGCCAACCCCAACAAAGCAACCCGGAAAGGCTATAGACAAGATAAAGCAGTTGGACTCAAGATTTTGTCCAGAAAAAGAGAGCAACTTTCAATTTAGTCTGAAAAAAATAGAAGTAGAGGCAAACCCATGTTTATTAAGTACTTTCAAATTAACGTTCAGGTTGGTTAGGTTGAAGTTAATCTCCCTCAAGAAACAGAGTAAATAGGTAAGTTTTAGATAGAACTAGGAACACGAAAGAAAGTAACATCAACAACCATTTAAGGAGGAAATATTTATTTGTGGTGGTCCGGTTGTGGCAATTTGAAGTAGAGGGATGATTATTTTCTGTTAGCTCCATTCCTTGATCAGCATTTGAATAATTTTACACCATTACAGATATAGTATGCTGTTTCTGTCGCAACCATACATACAATCAACCGAAAAACAACTTTGCTCTTATTAACGGAACAGTGAAAGCAATAGGAGAATTTCAATAATTAAAGAACACCAGAGTGCATGCATTTTATCTAGTTTTTTTTCTAAACAACAAGTTAATCAAACCCTACTCACTCGTTCCACACCCTTGTAACAGTGCCGGGGTTATTGATAAACTATGCGCCAAGGTGATTAAACCAGGATCCATTCAGTTAATCGGGACTTTATAGTTCCCTTCTGTTCTTCCACCAGGCTGGGATACCACAATAATATACAAGTAACAATAAAAGGTACCTTTGCCATTGCAGAGGTTATAACTTCTGGAATGGGCTCAGTGGTGTTACCAGTCCCAAGGCTAATTACTTGTGCATCAGGGTACTTCTGCGAGTGCTCAGCCCTTCTTCTAGCAATCTACGTAACAAAACGATATATATAATCACAAATTAACCCGAAAAACCAATCGAATATTTACTACGACAGTCCAGCCATAAATCCAAAACCACATAAAACCACATTCCCAAGGCATTAACAGTTGTACAGGTAAATCAAATGGGCAATGCCACATTTGAAAGTGAAAGAACATCACAACACCACAAACCTCTGGAAAGAGATAACCAGCTTCAAGTTTCGCTATGTTCGCATTGCGGGACACCTGAGTTTTGTAAGCTTCACATCACAGAAACAAAAAATTTCAATATTTAATTTTGTTCGAAAACAAATTAAATGAATAAATTTGAGAGAGAGAGAGAGAGAGAGAGAGAGAGAGAGAGAGAGAGACCAGTATTCTCCTCTTGTGGAGTGGCGAGGAGGATTGGGAGCATGCTGTTGCCAGTTTAGGAATTTGGAGATCACAAAGCTACAGATCACTAGATAAAAAGAAAAATAAGTGCAATTTTGTTCTCTCTCATATGGACATGCAAAGGAGAAACCAACCACCTTGATAAATGCTTTCCTTTTGGTCATGCTTCAACAATATTACATCAAATGGTGCAATCTTTCTCCCGTCATTATGTTGACGTCTGCAAGTGGTGGATAGGGACTTTATTTCAACCCACTGTGTCCTGAGTTTAATCTTTCTCATCTCCTTGACTCTAAAACTACAAGACTTACGTGACTCGCAGGCCGAGTAATTAGTGAGCTAACTACGTCCATCTGTGGATGGTTGTTGATGCAGATGAAATAATTCGCTACCAAGCTTAGTCGGATGAACGAGATGGATAAGGTGGTGTGGTGATGAAATGCGTTGCTGAATTTTGCATCGAGCAACTTCGGTCGAGGAACACACTCAACCTTGGGTTCTGAAACATGAAGACAAGGTTATGTCTTTGGCTACGAAATTCAATCTTCTACACCCAATTTGGCCGCTTCAACTATATCTGTGAAAATATAACCACGCAGAACATGAATCAAGATGTAGGGACAAAGATACTCAAAAGAAATGAGCATCTTTACGATAAAAGTGGTTCGGCCGTCTGAATGTCAAACCCTGAAATGCACTTGTGAATAACCAATCATACAACACCCCACATCGCTGCAAAATCTAATGAAGCAACCTCCTCCGGCGTATGCAGTAGCTACTAAGATCATGTTGAGCGATGACATTGAACGTCGTTCCATTGATGAATGTTGACGTAAAACCAATTGGTCAAACTGGAAACAAGCAATCCCAGTCGAACTCAATTCGCTTGCAAAACATAAGATGTTTGGACTTGTAGCTCCTACTCCTCTACATGTGAAACCCGTTGGCTACAAGTGGGTTTTCGTTCAGAAGCGTAATGAGAAGAACGAAATTGCGCATTATAAAGTTCGTCTTGTTGCACAAGGCTTCTCACAACGCCCCGGGATTGACTATGACGAAACTTATTCACTCGTTATGGATGTGATTACTTTTCACTACCTTATCAATTTGGTAGTTTCCGAAAAACTGAGTATGCAGCTGATGGACGTAGTAACTGCATATCTCTATAGGGATCTTGATGCAAAAATTTATATGAAAGTTCTCAAAGGACTTACATAGGCTAGAGTAAATATTTCCAAACCCTAGAGCACGATCTTAATTCGGATAAGGCGATCACTCTACGGTTTGAAGCAATCCGGAAGAATGTGGTATAATCGTTTAAGTGAGTATTTGCTAGTCAAGGATCTGTGAACAACGAACTATGCCCTTCTGTGTTCATTAAGAAGTCACATTCCAATTTTACGATTGTTGCAGTATATGTCAATGACATGAATCTCATCGGAACTGAAGGAAAATTTGTGAAAAACATGTTCATTTAAGCAACATCAATAGCATGCAATTAACATATTAAAGGCGGAATCATGCTTGTATGCACTTAAAACAAAACATTTACCCATGAAATTCAAAGCCTAGTAGATAGGTGAATCAAGACTCAACTCAAAAATAAAGTGAGTTGAGAAATCAATACCTTTGTAGATTCCTCTTTGCATAAGCAAAGGCTAATCACCCAAAGAGAGGGTCTTCATTCCTTGCATCTTGGATCCATGGATTTGGATGGATGAAAAGGTTTCTCCAAGTTCCCAAAATTGAGAACCTCTAAGTCTCCACACCAAGGTATATTGAAGAAGAAATGAGTGACCTAGAGGAAGTAAGATTGCTAGATTTTCCCCTCTAGATTGGCCGAATTCTTTGAGAGCAAAGGGAGGTTTGTGTTCTCATCTTTACTCCCTAGAAAACCCTAAGGATGAAATGGCTATAAAGATGTCTTTATACCACCTCACAATGGAGTGGCAAACTTGCAATTAAGCCAAGTTCACTACCCTCCTCTAAATGGCCGGCCTATGGGGATTAATTGGGCTATTTGGGCCTTTGTGAATCATTATTCATTAAGTTGTCATACAACTTAAGTCAATGGGCTTGACGTTCGAAGCCCATTGGGCCTTAAGATCCAAAACTATCCCGAGGTCTTCAACAAACTTATTCGTTTGATTAATAATCATATTAATTAATCCTTGCCATAAATAATTAAACCATTTAATTATTCTTACTCATCTCCGTTGAATCTTCAAACTCTACCTTACACGGTGTACGATCCATTAGGTTCCTTTTAGCGAGGCAGTGGGCGATTCAAACTCTTTCAAATCGATTGTGAATTGAAACTTACTTTCAATTCTCCCGTTAATGATAATACACTTTTAGGGCTTCCACAAACCATGAGTGACACCTAGCAGCATATCATGGTTACCCAAGCTAATCAGAAGAGGTGGAGAACCTATTCAGTTTAGGATTACAAATGCAATACGGTCTTTCTCTAATACAATACTCTTGACCACATTGTTTGGTTTGATAGTTTATTCAGGTCTACTATCCAATGTGAATCTTGTGCTTATATGATTACCTTGAATGTGATCTGGAACGCATTCCAACATTTCATTCATACTCTGGCCAGAGATTCCAAATCATATCATAGAGTATTCTCCCTCAAACGGTTTGAAGGTTAGAGATCCCTTGTTGCGCATTCACTTGCCTCCATGGCTAAGTGGCTTAACCCCAACGATGCCGTGGACACCCTGATAGAGTGACGTTGACATAATCAAAGATTAAGGACCTAACCACAAGACAACTGTGATGCCTCAGGTCAAAAGACTAATTTGCATTATCCCAACCATGAGTTCTCATGTGACATGAATATGAGAACTCTTCGTTGATCGTGTTCAATGAACTCATTCTCTATTGAGCACCTACGTACTTGTCTTGATGTCACACACACCAATGACTCGAGACTAGTCACTCTCCCTGAGAGAAGACATAGCACGTACTGATCTTAACGGACTGTCAATGCCCAATTGACAATCCTATGATCAGGAACGTTTAGGATGTGTCAACGAAAGAATGGTCTCATGAATCTAACTTCTTTAGATCGCATTCTTCCAATCACATATTCCTTGGACTTATCGTTTAAGCATATAACATTTATATGAGACGGCTCAAACAATAATGTTTGCCCTTTAAACTACATTAGTTTGAAATGTCCGTAAAGTATCATCATATGATTGGTTTTAGGGCACATTTCCAACAATCTCCCACTTGCACTAGAGCCAATCAGCTTAGTCATCATTGATGATACCTCTTCTGTAATTCATTTCATAAATGGCTGAGTAGTAGGCCTAAGCAATGGATATCTATATGTTATCCATAGAAGCAACTTTGAGAATAACGACGTCACCATTATACATGATTCTCAATCATGTGGTTCAGTCTCTCATTTGAGTTCGGACCTTGATGAGACCTTGATTCCCTGGCTTGAGCTATCGCCCCATTAGTGTCATACACTTTCTGGTTGGAACCGAATGAAGAGTTCATGAATGAACTTTCCCATCCAAACAACAATGTTGTAAGCTTCTCTATGGCAATATATTTTGCATATATGATGGAACACATTAAAGTCATTTACTTTTAATGTTTCCACCCAAATATCTCTTTAGTCATAATAAAGAGATATCTCTTTATCACTTCATTCATAATGAAGAGATATTCTATGATGGATTAGATTCATAATCTAATACATTTACGCTTCCATTACGTTACTCTAATTCTTCCTCATTCTTGAGGAATCCATCCTTAGTATTTCTTAAATACCTAAGGATTCACTTGACAGTTGCCATGGTTCTGATCCTGGGCTTGCACTGATATCATCTTGTACCGTTCTAGGTACGACTTATATCAATGTTTTCATACAATATGAAATACATAAATTACCTTTCTGCGTATGCATAAAGGATTCTATTTACGCATTATTTCTTTGGGAGTCAAAGGGTACATTCCCTTTGAGAAGAACAACTTCCTAGTCTCACTAGAATTGTCATTCTAATTGAAGTTTATCATCATATGAGAAACTTCCTAGCATCTCTTGTCTATTTTAGGGATTGATATAATCCAATTATATCTTGAAATCTATCATTATAGATTTCCATCCCATGTATATAGACTATGTCTCCCATATACATTCTATCATTATAGAATGTTTAAAGTCATAACTTTAACGATGAAGAATTCCTTTCATTTTCAAAATTAATATATATCATGTATATATATTCTAATTTAGGAATATAATCAACTCCCACTAATCTTTTGTAAACCTAGTAAACAAAAGATTCATTTACATCTTTATGAGAAATCAAACAATTGATCTTTTCTCATAAGATGTTTATGGCTCCCACTAGCTTGCTAAGATCCATGATGGATGGATCTCTACAACTAACATGTCTTAGAAGTATATATATATATGGGTAATTGATAATGTCCAACGAACTAAATCTTATTTATGTTCATTCTTCTCCTAATGGAGAAATACATTATCTTACGATGCTACTTTCCTTGATATTTTTCAAGGAAATTAATCTAAAGTGTTACTTTTTCCTTGGATCAAATCTAAGGAGGTAAATACTTTAGACGTCTTACTCATCTACTTACATTTCTTGAATTCTTTGAAACCTTTTGCAAAGTATTCGGACTTGTGTTTATTCAAAATAAACTATAGTCCAACCGAGAGTGATCTTCGGTGAATGTCATACAACATGAGTAGTATTATGTTGTGGACAAGTGCCACTAACATCTAAGTGAATCAACCTCAACAACTTTGTGATTCTTTCTTCTTTCCAAAAGAATAAAGATTCGAACATTTCGCCTCTATACAATTTTAACAAGAAGGTATTGGATCCGGATCTAACGATCCAAAGCATCCATCTATGACCAACTCGTAACTTATGTTTTAGAGGTATCACAACTCAGTTGGGATTAGTCACTACCTTGCAACCTTTTGGGTTTTAAGCATCATCGTATTCTAAACAGTTAAACTACCACATCATCTCTACTATAGAGACAACCAATTAGATTACAATAATCTAATTATTGATTAATAAAGAACAATGTTTTTTTTTTTAAACAAAACATTCATCCATCTCTACTATAGTGACGGATT